GGAAGCGGTTATTGCAGCTGCACCATGAAGGCGTGAAACAAGCTGTTCCCTTTGCAATCAGTATCGAGCAATCTGCGTATATCAGGGATGGGGGAAGGACTGGAGGCAGCTTAACCTAATGGCAGTCCCAGGCAGCTTCTTGGTTTGACTTTAAAACATCCATGTGTATGTGTCTCTGCCTATGCACCTTTCCCCTCCTCCCTGTCCTGTCTGCCCCCGCTGCTTCAGCCCCACTTTTAAGAGGACTTCTGGAGCTCTGGTACCAGAAGCAGCATCCTTCAGTGCTGCACCAGACTTGCAGCTTTGCTTGTATTTGTATTTGTAGCTATTCTTGAAGTGTAATCTATGCTTTGAGAGGTCAGCGTGCAAACAGATACGTCAAAGTCTCACTTTATTTCATTTGATTGGAGAGTAATGATGTGTGAGGGGCAGGCTGAATGTATGGCTGGGGCTTTATGTTCCTTGTGAATCCTGTCTATCTCCTGTCTTACAGAATTCTAAACTGAAAACATTGCAGGGGCTGTGGGGGGAGGTTGGAAGGTTTGAAGGTTGTGGCTCTAATTTAAGGCCTCAGTCACAAAATCCCTTTATTCTACCATTTCAGTGTCCTCCAAAAAAAAAAAAAAAAAAAGCTGTAATAAGGTGACCTGATTAATTTGTTTAATATTTAACTGATCCCATTCTGGAGGGAAATGACAGCAGAGGGTGGGTGTTCTCTACACACAGGGTACAGGCCTGCGTTTCATCATAAGCCTTCCACCTCAGCAGCTGTGGAGGAAAATACTAAATACAAAACTGGCAAATGGATCTCTGGATTAAAATACAGGCAAGACAAAGTTCAGTAATATTTAACACATTTTAAACAGAATATATTGAAAACTTCACTGAGGTAAAATGCCTGAAAATGTCTGATGGAAGATTTTGGCCATGGAGAACAGGGCTTTTCTTGAGGGTGGATTAACTACCTCTTGGCATATCAGTGTGGGTAGTTTTATCTTCTAGAAAAGGTAACAGCATTTTGTCAGTTGTCATCAACAGGTATCTGAACATTGTTTTGGCCTTGTGTCTTCCTTTATGTTAAGTTTCTCAGCATTTTGACAACCTTCTGACATGAGAAAAAATCCTAAAAATAACTAAGCAAAATCCACATTTGAAGTGCTGGGTCTCTAATGCTTTTTCTCCCTTCCTTCAGTGCATTTTTAAGACCTAAACTGGGGAAACAATATGAAGCTTCCTGTGTGGTATGTACATGTTTCTCTTATTCAACTCTTATTAGTAACTAACTTTTCATGCAGCTTGATCTGACAATGGCGGCTGGTCAGCAAGCTTCTTGGATTATGCCAGGAGTGGATTTAATCCAATCAGTTTAATTTTGTACTTTTGTCACATGAAGGATTTGAAACCTTTTCCCATCTAGAGAATTTGGGTATCATGTGCATCTCTAGGCACAACAAAAATATATTGGTTAGGATATTAGTAATTGAACTAATTTGTAATTAAATAAAGTAAATAATGGTATGGGCAGACTGAGCTACGACAATCTGGGTCTTTCAGATGAGATTGATGTCATTTCAGTTAGCGATTACTGGAGCTTTTTCAGACTTAAAATATTAAAAATCTAAACATTACTAACAGGCTTTAAACAATGCTTTTAACATTGTGCAAAATGAAAATACCTCCTCTACTGGAAAACAGAGGAGCATGTCTTAGTAGCATAATTCAAGAGAGGTTATTACAGAGATACTAATAACTCTTAATTTCTAACTGTGTTTTGAATGAAATTTCAACTGTCTAAAGGGAGAAGAAAGGGAAGGCATGCAGCAAGTTCAAATAAGATGGGTATCTAGGGAATTTCAGAATTCCTTGAACTCTTGCTGATCTTTGGATGACTTAAAGTACATTAAGCAGTTGTAGCCAAACTCAACAGACTGGAAAAACTTGGTCTGGACATGTATCTTAATAGTTTAAAGTACTTAGGTCTCTCTGCAGCAATTTTCTGACTTCTCACAAGATATTAAGCTGGAGAAGCCCTAGCTGCTGCTCACTAATTTTCTTCTAAGAAATTCATAAATTTTTCAGGGTTGTTGCTAGATACCACATACTGATAGAGGACTGGTGGCTTAGTGTGCTGGTGAGTAAAATGTGTTGCAGTTCTGGCACATGGAGCAAAAGCTTCATCACTGGTTTTTAACACTGACAGTTCGTGCTTGTTTAGAGGCTAGAAAATGGGGCTTGTTGCCTTATGCCCTTTACCGGAAGTCTCAGCAGTGTGCAGGAGCCATGCCTTGAAGCACCTATAATCTGAGGCTGTGGCCCCACCTGTGAGCTGTGGGTGTTGGCTGTGGGAGTGATCTGTTACCGTTGGGTAGAGGGACAGAGCTTCCTTCTCTGTGCATTCTCCATGACGTACCTATCTGTGACTTCCTTGTGCTTCATGCTGTGCTGTTGGCATCAGGTCTTCCTCTCTGTCCCTCAGGCTGATTCTAAAGCACCTTTCTTCTATAAGCACATACCAGAATTTACTAAGTGTTAAAAAAAACCCAAGCAACAAAAAAAAAACCCAAACCAAACCAAAACAAAAAAGACCCCAACCCTCAAACAAACAAAAACAAACAAAAAAACCCAACCCAAAAAAACACTAACTGCAAGACAACATAAATCACATGCTTAAGCCAAGGGAAAGATAGCTCTGGAAAAACACATTTCATGAAGATCCAATCCATTTCTGCCTGTTGGATGAAGAACTTGATTCTTCTCCAAATCTTACCATAATCATTAAATTATGGTAGAAAGCTTTCAAAGATGGGGCTTAGTTCTGAGCAGTTGATCGTGGTACAGCCTCAGCTGTATCATCTGCCACCTTCTTTTCTCATCTGTTTCCTACCCCTGCCAATGCACAGGAATGTCTGCCCACATCAATTCCTTCCATATTATCCAGTGGGGCAGCAGAGTACTGTGTGCATGGGTGAGTCAGGGTTTCTGGAACTTGACAGGTAGTTGACTTGTCTTCTGAAACATCAAGCTGATTATCTAACATCACTGTATTGACTAGTGTATCTAAAAATACTGTGCACCTGTTATATGATCTGTCCTTTTAAAATTCTCTAGCCAGAAATGTTCTAGGCATGTCTATAGGCTATTAACTGTCTGACAATGCATATGACACAACATTGTACAGTATTCTATTATTATTATTGGCTCTAAACTTGCTGCAGTAGAATTTGCTGCATATTGTGCATTGAGGAAGCAGATGCTGGAAGCTTAGATTCAGTGAATACAGCATCTGGTCTGCAAGAGCAGATTGCATTGCTTCTTTCAGTTTTGCTTTATACTGTAATACTTGAAGAAAAGCATGGCCCTTTCATAGCTTTGTTTTCCTTACCTGACAAATCACACTGACTTCAATTTGGACTCGATGATCTTAAAGTTCTTTTCCAACCTAAATGATTCTATGAATTGATCTATGAATAATAGCTTTTAATCTGAAGATAAATACCAGCCCCCCCAGCATTTTCTTACACTGTCTAAATGCTCTTGTGCCTCAAGTATGGATTTAGTGTTCTTCCTTCTCCCCGTTCTGAAGTTGTTCTGCCCCGACACAGTGTCATTCCTAATGTGCATGAGTCAAAGCTGCAAAGGAATGTATGTGAGTGCTCTACAAAGCTAATGCATTTTTTTCAGGTGAGGGTAAGAGACTCAAGGATGTGTTTTAAATTATTTTACCCTGGATTGCTTTGGGCATGGAAGAACTCAAGCATTTTCTGGAGGATCTTCCAAATTCAAAGTTTATCCCTTTTCTGGTTTGTTTGTTTGTTTTTTCACTTGTTTTTGCAAATGTAATAATACATTTTGTTGTTATGGATGATTAAAGGATAGATATGGAACAAAGTTTAAAAGGAGGCCACCTTTATTTTACCTAGCCAAAAGACATGATTTCAGGAAACTGAGTTTTTGAACATTGGAATTTTCTGTAAATGAAGTGCTTGGCGTCTCTGTTTCATTGCTTGTCAATGTTTCTACTACTACTGTGTTTAGTAAACAATGGAGCCTTACTGTCCCTTGTGCTATGAACTCCTAGATTAACGTGTTGGATCTTTCTAGGAACTCTTCCCTCCTCAGAGGACCTTCCCCAGACTGACAATACTGTCTGCCTGCATTTCAAGTTCTTTCCAGTCAGTCTGAAGTGACTTCAGCAATGGTCTCTGCTCTCCACCATGGTGAAGCCTGAAGAACAGGACAATAAGGTTCCCTCCAAGAACAGAAGTCTGGTTCAAGAAGCCCTAGCAGTTTCTCTGTGTCTCTGTCAGGGTCCTTCTTTACATACACTAGGCTAAGCACTGCTCCCTGCTCTCCTAGCTTACTGCTTTTTTTTTTTTTTCTTTCCCAAGTGAGATCCTCTAGGGCTACTTCCCTGGAGGAGACCTTTAGCTCATCTGGCACTGCTAAGAGAATGCAACAGGGGGATGCTGAGCTTCTCAAGGTCCTGGCTGTATAGTGGGGTCTAGGAGCCTGGCTGAGCCCTTGCTGCCTTATGCAGTTCACTGCAGGAACAGATCCCCTGGGCTTAGAGCAGGAGTCCATGTGACTTGAGCAAAGCTCTGTAGGAAACCATGTCAAAGCCCAGCCAGAATCTGCTCTGTCCTGTACCGCTTGTCAAGGCTTCTTCAGGCAGCTACCTGTTCCCATTCCAGCAGCAAAGTAGCACACAGGCTGACCCTGGTCACAAGGTATTTGACAGCCCCTTTGGTTCTTAGTGTAGAAGAAGGTAAAAGGAGAACAGCAGCAGTGGAAAGGCAGCCAGACAAGACTGATTGCAATTCCCTGTGAAAACAGATGGCATCACCAGGCTAAAAGGAAAAATGCTTGTGTAAGTGGCCCTGAAGGAGCTGAACACACACGCAGAGCACCGCTGAAAGGGGCTGCCCTTTCTCTAGCCAAGGCATAACGCTGAGTTCCTTCCCTACCACCTTAGTTGATGTTCTTTATCCCCCTTTGGCATGTGGGGTGTTGCAGGCACGGAAGAGCCTGCTATAAGTAGGTAACTGTTTTCTTAGCCAAGCAGCATCCCTGAGGCTGCAGCTCCAGACATATCCATAGCATGAGTATCTTCTGATTTACTTGCGGAAAGTTTAATTCAGACATTCTTATTCAGCCTTCTCATTGAAGCATGTAACTCCTCTCAGCTGTAGCAGCAGTTGCTTAGGTCATGTGGGGTGAAAATTAGGTCTTTCATCTTAGTGTCTGTATATGCTCTGTAGCAGGTCCTGAGAGTAGAGTAGAGCCACAGCAGACCAAAAAGGAGGCTCTACAGGAGCAAATGCTAAGTCAGGGCCTTGCATCCTGAATGTCTGGTGTAGACAGAAGCTGCTGTGTGTTGGACCTTGTGGAGGACTCCAGGCAAATCCCATGAGAACACTTGTCCAAAGAACTGCATGTTCTTGTTGGGCTGCTTGTGACAGTTATCAGGTGGGGACTGATGCCAGCTAGGTCCTGTGCTGACAGTACATGCACAGTGGCAATTGTGTACCAGCCAGTGCCCACAGCACATGGGGACACATAGTGTTTTCCATACAGTAGCCTTTGTGTTTGTTAGCATTTTACTGGCAACATACAGTGCTTCTGTCTCAGATGCTCATGATCACATATGTTGTTCCAGAAGCTATTCTTTCATGGTAGTACAGAAATACATTTAGCTTTCTGCTCAGGCCAGGAAAGAACAGAGGAAATCTGGTGGTTAACCATGTAGGAAAAGCTTCATGTGGCTCAGAAACCCAAAACGTTGAGGTGAATACAAGCCTAATTTAAAGACATGATTGCAGACTCCTTGGCTTCCCCTTGAGTTTCTGAAGTATGCACAGTGTGGACCAGAGCTTCCAGAAGGCAGTTGTTGGAGTACTTTCTCCCTGATGCCATTAAAGTACCCATGAATGGAAAGCCAGAGAGCAACGATGTGTCTTCCATCACACTTCAAAGTAGTGTTGCTGCTCACAGTGATTTTTTTTCCACTGTTCCTTTTCTTTGTTCTGTAAACTGAATAGCTTTGTCACTGTACTTCAGTGTGAGCTTATGCTTTGGCTTTTCTGCTGGAGGTGAGAAGACAATTTCTTTTGACAAGCCTAGGTTAGAACTGGTGCTTGGCAGGCCTTTCACTGAGCTGATTCAGCTCACTAACCTGGTAGAAACTACTTATCTCTATGCTGAGCTTCATTTTGATTGGTGTAGAGGCTTGACTTGGCTGAATGAAGGCTTCAGTGAGCCCCAGAGCTGATGCACAAGTGGAGATGGTAGCATGTGGCTGGAGCAACAAATAAGGAGTGGTACCCTCTCCTGTTTTGACAAAAATAAATGAGATCCCATGTTTTTCATGGCTCTTTCAGACTTTGTGGTGTTTGTAATCATGCATTAACCCTGTACCTCTCGTCTTGCTTCTGGGGATACTTTGGTGCTTTGTTCCTCCCTTTTGTTAGATAACCTGGTCTGGGATAGTTGTTCTAGGCCTCTGCTGTCTTTATGCTACTGTGCTCTCAACTGCTGCTGTGGTTTGATGACTGTAGTTCCTGAATGGACAGAATATTCAGACCTTATAATAAGTACTTTGCTCCCTTGCCTGCAAAGGCTTTCCAAGCATTGGCCATTCCTTCATATTCCCTGCATTCATGAACTGAAGGGAATGAATGGCAGGAGACTGTTTCCTTTTGTAGGCAGTGTGACCCTGAGCAGATCACTGTAAGAGGGATTTGAAACATCCTTTCCCTGGTAGACATGTTAGCCAATCCTGGTGCTAGGAAAGACACATTGCTGACAATCTAATCCATGACACATTATTTTTGACTAATCCTGGGAAAGCCAGCGTTTTTGTCCATGTATTACAGCTAATGCCTTCCTCAGCAAACCTTCCAGCATGGCATTATAGTGTGGGCTACACCTGTAGCTAATTCAGGTCACTGCCCTGGCTGACACAAAACTGCTGGCAGCCTGGCTAGCACAGCTGGCCTATGATTCTATCCCAGTCAAACCAGGACAGTGTTTCTCTGCCTCCGTGCTGGCCCAAGCAGAGCTGTTATGGGGATGCTTAACACCATGCTGGTGAGGAACTATGCTTGCACTAGGGCACCCTGCCTCTCAATGGAGGAGTTCATGTCCGCCCGTACCAGCGGATGTGGCTGCAACCTGAGAGAACAAATGTGCACAGCTGCTGGGGTATGCAGAAGAGTGCATGTTACCATGCCTGAGAGTGGCTGATCATCTAGGAGAGCTAGGTTATGACTGCTGCCCTTTTTGCTTTTCTTCTTTGTAACTAAGTCTATTCTTATTACCACCCCAATTTTACAGGAAAAATCGGTATGACTAGTGTTGAAGGATAAGCTGTATGGTCTGGAGTGAGGGCATTTGAAGCATCCGTTAGGTCATAAATGCTAACTGTTACTTTTTTGCCCAGAGCCTGATAAAATTGGTGAAATAGCTTGTGAACAAATAGGTAGCCAGGAGGCTAAGCTGGTATATGGCAAAGACATGCATTATCAGCAACGTATTTCTTTGCTTAGGAACTTCAGTGAAGGAATATAACTGCTTTTGTGAACTATAGTGAGATCTTTGTATCTGATCAGAGAAGCAACTTCTTGAAATGGTTGGAAGACTTAGCAATAAGGGACTTCCTTAGGGATTTCTAAGGCAGGTAGTCTTATTTTGTGTTGCTTCAGGTGGAAATAATGAACTTGCTGCAGCCATCAGCTCTTTTAAGCGTTCACAAAACCATTACACCATGGCTCAACAAAAAATTTTGTACACTGTTTATTTTTTGTGGCAGGGTGTGAAAACATTTCCTAAGGCCCACATAACTGTAATGGGTTGCCCTTTATGTTACACTAAACTGAAAGAACATGTATATGTGATAAGAATATCCAGCTCTCATCTGCACAAATACAGTCCCTTAGCTCCTGTGACTTCCAACAGGATTACTGACATGCGAGATTAATACCCAGCACAACTGTAAGTCTGGCTCAATGTTAGCACTTATTAATATACACATGATACTTGCTTTAATTCTTTTTTATTACAGAAGATATATCGAGTGGCCCCTTCATTTCTTAGCCAAGTATGTCCATATGTCTGGTGAACTTTAGCCACAGTCTGTGTCTTTCAGGAAAAATATTATAAGGTGCTTTAGGTACATAATGAAAAATGAGAGATTACAGGTTTATAAAATAGAATGTCCTATGTACTAGAAGGTATGTGCAGAAATAGATATACAGTGTCTTGTTTTCTTTGTTCTTACTTTTAGTCCTTTGAAAGAGTTTTAGTAGAGAACAAGCTGCATGGCCTTTCTCCAGCTCTTTCTGAAGCCATCCAGAGCATTTCTCGCTGGGAACTTGTCCAAGCTGCACTCCCACATGTGCTGCACTGCACTGCAACATTGCTGTCCAACCGAAACAAGCTAGGTTAGTGCTCATGTGAGTTTGTTTTTCCGTTACTGAAGTTATCAGTCAAAATATGGCAGATTAATGCTCAGGGTGCCAGCTGAACTGCAAATGCTGTGAGGTAAATGAAGAATGGTGAATTAGGAGGTTTCAAACATAATGAAACAGAACGCTGATACTTTTAATGGTAGCATTTTAATTTTCAAATGCTTATCAGGAAGTTGGATGCATAGTTTTCTGTGCAGCTCTGAAAGTCTCAACAGTACCATTAATGGAAACCCTGTGAGATACTGTGATGCATTTTTCCATCCAGGACATCAGGATAAGCTTGGAGTAGCTGAAACAAAGCTTCTTCACACCCTTCACTGGATGCTACTGGAGGCCCCTCAGGACTGCAGCAATGACCGATTTGGAGGAGACAGAGGCTCTAGTTGGGGAGGGAGCAGTAGCGCCTTTATCCATCAGGCTGAAAACCAAGGATCACCAGGACATCCCCGGCCCAGAACCACAAATGATGAGGAGGAGAATAACAGAAGGAAGTTCTTCCAGAACTCCATGGCCACAGTGGAGCTCTTTGTGTTCCTATTTGCTCCCCTTGTCCACAGGATTAAAGTAAGTAGAACCCTGATGGGGTACTTGAGTGGAGACAGCTCTGAGCAGGAAAATAATGATTCTGCCTTTGCTATTGTTATTTAATTCAGCCTACAGTGCACACTGGGTGGCCACTGAAAATGTTTTAACAAGCTGGCAGAATACGACTGCCATGAGGAAGAAATACTTCCAGTGACATGAACAATCACCACAGCATCAGGCAGACACAAAGGCAAATAAATCTGAAGTGAGCCATTTTCAGCTCTTGGGAATGCCAAAGATCTGTGGCCTTTGTAAAGTCTTTGGGATCCTGGAACCTGCAGAAATGATTGCAAGCTTTAACTTGCTAAAGTGATTCTCAACTGTTGCTCAGAAGGGCCTTGCTAGCTTTTCAGGGATTCCACTGTGGGGTTGTCACTGGCATTTGTTGTTGTCATTCTAATCATCTTGATGCTAATTACCAGGAACGCGTGATAGTGGTATAAGCATGGCAGTGGCAAAGGCAATTGAGCATTCCTTTATTCTGAAGTTGGAAACAGGCTGCAGGCTTCCTGTCTGCTGGGGCCCCTCTGTTGGTTTTATGCTGAATACATTGGCTTTGCAGAGTGGTGTGACGAGGAAACATTTTCTGCATGCTCTGCCTCCTGCCTCTTGTCTTTAGTCTCTCTGGAGGGCTGCTGTTTAGCCTTTACGTTTCCGGATGGGCCTCGGAAGAGAAACTGGCTCTGGAGAGTAGATGCTTGGAAAAGATCTATAAAGTCACGAAGCAATGGAGACTGTTGTCTGTTCTAATCCTGCCTTGTACGCTACAACAGTTGAAGAAGATAAGAAAGTACAGGAGATAAAGGATAATCTTTTGGTTAAGGCAGGTGAAAGCAGGTCTGGAGAGCTAGACTCCTTCCCTACTTCTGCTACTGAATTCCTGTATGGTATTGCTCAATTTATTTAGCCCATATTTTTCATACTTGTTTACTACTTCCACGTTTTCTCTGTTAGCTACTGGGACATGGCAGGAAGAAACACTGAATTCTTCCCAGTGCTACACACACAAATGTGGGCTGCCCTTTGAATAAATGAAATGAAACTGGAGGTAGACCCTTGCTATTAGAGATAAGATCTCAAAATTTTTTATATTAATCTTTCTGGGCTGTAGTTTCCCATTTACAAGGTGGGGTTAATAACACTATCTCTAGTTTACCTTGAAAATCTCTGAGATCTTTGAGGTACTGTAGTGATGAACATTGAAAAGCCCATGAAAACGTGCATGTTTCTGTCATCAAAGCAAAGCTCAAAAAAGGTGAGGTAAATGAGTCAAATGTCTGGCTCACTAAGTCAGCATTGTCCCCTCTGTGTTTCACCGAGGTAGAGGTCTCAGGGGAAGAATACTATCTGATCAGACAACCAAAGTAATGCATGCTCAAGGAAGATGATACAGGTTTGCACAGGCTGACCTAAATGATGGAATTCCTAACTTCTGGAAGGGTTTGTGTATTTAGCAATGTGTTTTCAAATGAGGCTTTTGTGAGGGTGAGGGGGATGCACTTAACGACTGTGGATGAAATTACAGTGTTGGCATGTAACCAACCAGTGCAAAGTAAAAATGCAACACGTGTTACTGCCACCACTTCCAAAAACCTTGCAAGGTGCTCCTTAGTAAAAATAATAATTAAAAACAAGCTTAGTTTGTCACAAGGCTCGTGAGCTCGTTTTGATGAGACAGCACTAATGAAAAGTAGGAAATAGAAGGGCTGGAGAGCTACAAGCAATCAGCTCCTACCATTCCTTTCGCTCTGTCTGCATAATCGATTTCAACCACTGAGGTATGTGGAGTTATATCAACAGGAAATGGTGGTGCAGCTATAATTATGCTGCCAAAACTGCTGTTATCATGTTTGTTTGCCTTATGGGGATAGCTGGACTGTGGGATAGCTGGACTATACCAACATAGTGTCTCCTAAGTAAGCGCATATCTGCACCCTGATCCTGCCAAGATTTAGTTGTGTACTAATTTACATGGTTTCAGCTACTTGCACATATAAAACAATGACGGCACAAGTGTGAGTAGTACCAATGTCTCTGTGTTGACATGGCTCGGGTACTAACAGTGCTAATAATAGTACCAACGTTATTGTAGACTGCTGTTTTGTTACATTTCATGTTTCCTCAATTTCCAAGTAATGTTTTCATATTAAGTATTCTAATTCTTTTGGGGCAAGAAGTTCAAGTCTCGGAGTGCAAAACCTAAGGTTGAGATTGAATACTACATATGAAGTGGTTATATACGGTCAAGAGGGATGCTTTCTGACACAGGAATGGCCTTTTCTTTTACAGCTTTAGGTGCTGGAAAAAATGGGATTCATTAACTAGTATAAAAATTTAATTTGGAAAAAAACTCTTACATATTTTTGTATTGAGATTTCCCTGTTATTTTTTAATAGCCATACTTGAAATGTATTAATGTCTGCTGAGTAGTGTTAGTGGCCCCTGAGTTAGCATATACTGACCACAGACCTGCACATGGTATCCCTCATATCTGGGAAGATCTGTGCATCAGGGAAATGGCAGTCCTTTTAGACTGGAAACAACATTCTTTTGTGTGAGCTTGTGTGACACAACCTGTTTGTCTTTCTAGGAATCTGACCTGACATTCCGGTTGGCTAGTGGCCTTGTTATTTGGCAGCCTATGTGGGAACACAGGCAGCCTGAAGTTTCTGCCTTCAACGCCCTTGTAAAACCAATCAGGAACATTGTTACAGGTCTGTGACATTGCTGTGCTAATTTAGCTCCTGAGAGCTGGGAAACCTTTCCTATGTTTGCCTGATGCTGCCTTACATTCTGTAGCCATCATCTTGGTCAGAATATCTTAATCCTGCAGGAACTAGTCAAACCTTTGAGAGCAATTTAAGATTGTTTACCCTCAGAGTCAACCGACATTTGCATAATAATTAAAGAGGCGACTAGAGAGAAACCACAAATAGGAAATGAGAAACTCTTCAGTAGAGTTATAATTTCCTGTCAGCCTCATATCTCTGTTTCACCATATCTTCCTTAGTTGCTAAGAAAGGCAAAGACAGTATCTAGCAGCAGCCTGATATGGGTGGGGAAGGCTTTCCCAGACTGGCATTGGACAAAAATTAACAGCTGGCAGTGTAGGTTCTCCTCCTATATAAAATTTGAATTTCATCATGTTATGGGATTAAACAAAGTAGATTCAAGAAGCTCCAAAGAAGGCTTAGGTTGTGAATTTGCTTTTGCGTACTGGAAGGGGTTGCTCCTCCTTTGCGTTTCAAGCTGTAATGAGATTGAAGTTGAGTGCTTAGGCTTCCAAGCCTTTGTGTCTGGCCTAGTTCTAAAAAAACTTTTTAACTTCTATGATTCTAGACAATGGTTTTGCGTAATTCCTACAAGGTAGTGAATTGAAATTGTGCTGGGTATATGACTGTAGCATTGCTTAGTCATTCTCAAAAGCATAGAACTGTCATTTTCAGAGTAGTGAAAATGTGGTTCACTAAATCAGATTTTTCTGATGACAAGTCATTTTGGATGTCATATTTTGTTCTGAAGGCTTTGTAGGCTTCTGGGACAGTCCAGAATTGAAAAGATTCAAGTCTTTCAAATTATTTAAAACCATCTTTCACATCTAGCTCTTCCTCCCTCTGCTTCAACTTCTGGAATTAAAAGATAGGATTTCAGCCCTGGAACTAACAAAAGGAATTAGTCCTAAGTTTTCCTTGATGTTGGAATTTTTTCCATAGGTCTGGCATGTGGTCAGAAAATCCCTAAAGAATGACTTCAGGAGTAAAGGCTGAAATTAAAATACTGTGTTATGTTTTGAAAATATTTTCAGCAGAATGGAAATAGAAATTGGAATGAGCTTCTTTATATCAAGGAGGATTCTGCTATCTTAGCATTGTTGTCTCAAATTGGGACCAAAAAGTTAAATTTACTTAAAATTTCCTTCAAAAAAACAAATTTAAAAATTTCTACTGCACTAGATTTGGAGTGTTTTGTTTGGAGTCAGTCTGATGTTAAGTCACATCTGAATAGCTTGCAATATGACAGGATTTCAAGAATTGTTGTCCTAGTGTTTGTGATGCCCTTGTTCTTCTATTATATCGCTGATCAAACTTTCTGTATGACATTTGTGTGTTTCCTGTGATGAAGGCATTTGCCAAATTGGAAATGACAATACATTCTGAATGATGTAACCTAGAAAAGGAGCTGAATATATGTGAAAATAGGAGGAGGAAGAACTCTGAAATAAAAGGCACTAGTATGCACAGGAAAATGCAATTTGATACCAAATAGATTTAGGATAAAATTTGTATTCAAATTTAGTTTTAAAGAAATGGCAATTTTCAGTAGACAGTGTTGACAACACAATTGAAAGAATTGTGAAAAAATTGAAACAGTCCTTTTTTGTTTTTATAGCTGTGGCTAATGCCTAGGAAGTCTGCAGCAGACATGATGCTTTGGGTTTGTTTTTGTTTTCTGGCTTGTACTTTCACTGGTACATTTTACTATTAGAGGTGATTCCTGAAATGTCCTGCTTTGACTCCTTTTCCCAGCTAAGAGAAGTTCTCCCACCAACAATCAGAGTGTGACTTGTGAATCCCCTAATCTTGACAGTGGACATACCGAGGTAAGTTCTATGCTAAGGTTAGACAATCTTGAATAAGAAGCTGAGGGAGGGGGGAAATTAATATTGAAACAGCACTTGCAGTTATCACCCTGAAGTATTCCATCTCCAGAAATTACATCTCTTCCCAGTTCTTCCAAAGGCTCCCAACCTTGTCTGCAGTGGAACCGAAGAGTATTGAGTATAGCTGTCAGGATCTCATTTGCCTTATCCTATCTTATAGAATGGAAGCCTGATCTTATGTACTTTCTTGGGCAAGAGCCCTGTCTGACCCTTTACCTGTACAGTGCCTGGTACTGAGAAGTCACAGGCTTGATGAGTTTCTCCATGGTATTACCATGATGTTATGGTATAAGTAATAAACATGTCTAAGCACAAACTGCAGTAAGAAAAATAATATGGGAGAGATAAATATGTTTATATGCCTATTTCCTTTTATTAAAACTACCCAAAGGGACTACAGGTGGTCTGTGAGACAACCCAGCCAGATTCTGTACCTCCAAAGGCCACTGTTTCAGCATGTCATCGTGGAAATTCCTTGGATGGAAGCGTATCCTCCCAAACCTCTCAGGAGAGAGGTACTGCACATCCCAGGTACAAACCCCTTCAGCAGAAATTTAGGCTGGTGTGACTCAGCCTAATGGTGGAGGTCACAGAAGTCCTTTATTTTGAATCTGCTGTTGACCATGCACACCAAAGGTTCTGGATGTTTATCTCAAACTCTTAATTCAACAAATCTCGGTTCTGGGTAATGAACAAGGTGGTAACACTTGATATTCAATGCCACTTTCATTGGAGAAATCTCTAGCTGGCCTGTTGGGACAGTTTCTTTGGTCTTTTCTAATACGTTCGTTTCTTATAGTTAAAGATAATAAATAACCTGTAGGTTCAACCCTCCTTAGTTGGATTCAGCCTCAGACAACAGGTATCTTCTCTGGCTTCCTTCTGATCAAATTTTCTTTCCCTTTAGCAAAGGATTTTTGCAAGCCTTTTTCCATTGCCTTGATTATGCCTTGTCTGCATCCTGCTGCTTAGCTTTGGTTTAGGCTACAGGCCCAAAGAAACAGAATAACAAAGCACAGCCACGCAAACATCCTCCCAGCTTGCCCGCAGGAGCTCAGGCCATGTTCTTCCAGCATGGCACTGATAAATTAACTTCTTTTAGTCTAGATTTGGGCATGTAAATGTAGAACCAGATTTTCAGTAGTGCTGGATACTCAGTAGTGCTGTAAAGTAAATGAAGCTGATGAGTGTTTTCAGGGGGTGGAGAGGGAAGGAAGCCTAGCTGTGTTTTTAGGTTTCTATGGATTTCAGAGCATCACTTAAACTCCTCCTGAAAATTTTGGTCCTGTTGCTTATCTCTTGGGAAATGTCATATCCAAAACACTGCAATGTTTTAAGAAATTGCTTCATTACAGTGACAGAAGAAATGTGGGAGGGAGCGAGTTTCTGGATATAATCTAGGAACAGCTCTGATTTCTCAAAAAGGGTTTGGTGCATCCTTTCACTGGTGGAAAGGGCAAAGCTATTCTCTAAGTCTCTGATCCCATCATTAGGCTTCCCTTGGGATTTTGTATCAAGCTTGCTGTCAGTTCTGGGTCTTTATTTAATTTGTATGAGTGTGAGCCAGTAAAACTGAAGCTGGGTACAGAACTGCCTTTCTATGTGTGAACACTACTGCTCAGAGAGTGCACAGCCGTAAAAAAATAAGCAGCCTTTTAAGAAGACAGAATCAGGTGATCAATTTGTTGAGCTGGGTCTGGTGGTTGCTATGGGGATGAAGCTTCAGATGGGCTTTGAAGAGAGCATCATTATGCCTCCTCATTTGCAGGACTCATTGATCAGTTATAACTGTACAGGGAGCTTTGGTTGCCAAGCAACAGACAACTGGGGAACAAATGTTGTTTACTCTGCTTACCAACAGCCGCAGTATTCCTTTGTCCTTGGACCGGGGTTGAAGGAAGGCTGCCTTTCCACAATCCCTGCAGTCACAGGCAACCAAGAGCTGATTATGCGAACACTAGATTTCCTCCTAAATGAAGTAAGGAGTTTAATTTCTGGTTCCTCAGACACATCTTGAGCAAATGGCTTGTTCCTCTCATCCTGGCTAATTATCCCTGCTGCACTCAGTGAAATTCTCCATTTACGGATGATACAGTTTAACACTGAAGCAAATAAAGCCACAGCCCTTTATTCAGCTGCTTCTTGAACACGTTGCCTGGGAAATAGACTTTGCAGGAAGGACTTTAGTGACAAGTATTTCATGACGAGAACGTGGCTTGCTCCAGGCTGTGTTGTGCCAGGTTTGCCTATGCTGCGTACAGGGGAGCATGAAAGACTGTTTAGACTCAAGAGAGTGATCTGGGTCCTGCAAAGTGACCAGGGAGCAATGCATCATCCTTTACAATTGCTACTGAGGTGATGGGCTTTATTTCCTTTGCTGGGATGCTTTGAGTATCCCAGCTATCCCCATGTTGTTTTACAGGCTGCATCTATGTGTCACAGTCTTGACTACGACAAAAACAGCCTTCACATCAGGTTTATGGGGAAAACTTTATAGCCTCTTTCCATTTATAGTTGTTTTCTCCTTCCTAAGTCAGTTTTTCAGGTTTTTTTATAACAGCTCATTTTAAAGTTCTCAAACTTAAAACATTTTTACCTTGAATACAGCACTAGGGAATAAGCTTTGAATCTATCGATTGCATATAGTGACACATGCTGATGCAGACGGGCTGATCTGAAGTCACCAAGTGCCTTCAACATTGGCCTGTGAGGCTGGCAGCAAATCAGCTCCTGCAAGTTTGAGTTGTAGATGCACACATTGCTCCAAGTCCAGCCTTCCCACCTGCCCACATTTCCAAGCATGTAATATGGAGCAGGGTTCATGTGATTCCAAGTGGTGTCAGTGTTCACTGCACACTTCTTTCTCATTTGCCAGTCCTGTATCTACCTTGGATGCACAGGGCAGCTTTGTGGCCCTGAGCAGTGATCCAGCAAAGCACTTTAAGCGTGCACTTCGCTTTAGAGGTTCCACTGGTCAGTATTGCCGCTTGTTGCCTAATGCTTCTCTGGACTGTGGCTTTGGATGCCTCTGTTCAGAGTGTAGTGGTACCCAGCCGGAGATGGGGGGTATCCTGCCAATGCTGTTTGCATGTTGTTTAGCAGAGTTGATAATATGAATGGCTTTTAAAAGAATAAATACCTGATGTTCCTGTGGTGATTCCCATATGCCTAAGAATACAATTCATGGAAGTGCTATTGATTTTTATAGAATCCAATGATCACAAACATACTCAGTTCACAGAGGTATATTTCTAACACACTGAGTGGAAACACTTGAATTTTGTACTTTGGCAGGCAAAAAATAATCTGTGGAGTTTCTGCCCCACCCCTGGCATTTCACACCTTCTTTTGTCATGTGATTCTCATTCCTCCAGCTCCCTTTCACTGCTTCTTTTCTGAGAGATCATCTCCTAACAGCTAATGGCTATACAGAAGGTAGATTGGGCCAGTTGTACTCTGCTGGGAGAGAAGTGGTATAAAAAATAAACAATAAAAAAGTTAGGGCATTTTGTTGCAATAAGATTGGCTCTGAAAAGAGATATGATCCCTTTGAAATCTGAAATATCTGGAGTCTTGTTTCTGAGGCTTACTACAGACATCTAGCTTTTGCATGTGCTAACTTCTGCAATACTTAGGAAATTTCATACTAAAACCCATCAAGAAATGACACCACCTGAAAGGCAGGAAAATGATAATGAAGGCTAAAACCAGTTGTTTTCTCTAGCACACCTTGGCAAAGAGTGTCCATAACAGTAACTTTTACTTGTCTAGGAGTATTTAGTTGGCTTAAAGCGTTAACTAACGTAGCTGCCCTGCCTGCTCCTTAAATGAGATCTGATGTGTACAAATGTAAACCACTCCTGAATATATATTACTAGTATTTGAACAGCAGATGCTCAGGGTTTATCTGCTTCCACCTGAACAAATTATTCAGTTAGCACAGGTGCTGGAGGCTTATCTTCAGACCACAGCTTAAGAAAGAAACCCTATCCAAGAAAACACTTAACAAAGCGTGTACTTGAGTCCTCTAGGGAACTGAAAGCTAAATATCCACTTATATGTCTTCAGAAATGCTTTCCTCATTCAGGGCCTTAGTCCCAAAAGGTCAGTGTCAAATGTCCCTGCAAGCTCCAGCAGGCACAGCTGTGTGCACATCCTGGTGATTTATGCAGATGGCAGAATGAGAATGGCTTACAGCTCTTGAAGAGTGGCTAAATTTTAGGCCCCTTAGTGGACCTCTTGGGTCTTTTGGGGTGGACCAGCACGTGTGCTAAGACAGAACTGGCCTCCAACTATCAAAGAAAACTTGATGGCGTAGAGAGTGACCCCTTAAGAACAATTGAACATGCCAACCTGACAGATCATTGTTGAGTGGTTCTTTATTTGGAGAGCTGATTGTCTAAGAAGGGCTAAGGAACCTGATTAACATTTCTACTCCTGCTTTTTGGAACAGGGTGTCCTTGGTGATTCCGCCATGCCAGAAGTCTCGTTATGCCACATACTTTGATGTGGCAGTGCTGCGCTGCCTGCTGCAGCCACATTGGTCTGAGGAAGGCACACAGTGGTCACTAATGTACTACCTGCAGAGGCTGAGGCATATGTTACAGGAAAAGCCGGAGAAACCACCTGAGCCAGAGATGACTCCTTTACCGAGACCTCGCAGCAGCTCCATGGTGGCTGTTGCACCCTCTCTGGTGAATACCCACAAAACACAGGTAAGCAGTTGCCATCAATAAAAAAATAGCAACTGTTGTGGTGATACTGGGAAGTGATGCCTGGACAACTAGTGAAGAGCACAGCTTAAGTGTTGGTTAAACTGCCCAGAGGTCAGATATGTGCATTGATTCAGAAAGAGACCCTGAGAACAATGAGGAGTTTGGAGGCAGAATCTGATGCAGACAGTCAGAGCTGGTGACTGCTGAAAGCTTGAGGGTTCATTTGGAATAATTAATCAAGCATGAACTGTGATAACATTAGTTTTTAACGTGAGAATGTACTAATGTAGTTGTCAGAAGAAATTGACTGTCTTTACATTATAGTGTAATGCTCAGGACTCACTGAGCTTCTCTGGTATAATCCCTCAAAAGAGATAAAAGGAGCTGCACTTGGTACAGCACTGCACACTCCAGCCAGACACTTGGGTTAAAAATATTGGAGCAGACTTTGCAAACAGTGCTAGTGAGCAAAACCCCTCCATGTCGTTACCTCTTCTCCTGCTGTTATTCTTATTGCATAACTTTTACCTTTGTATTTGCCAGCAAAACCTCAATAGACAAACTGTCCTAATAAGTGTCAAGACTTGCTCCCTGTTTTGCTGGAAAAGGAACCCCAGACTCCTGACCTTGGCGCAGTAAAGAACTTTGTGTTAGAGCTTAAATGTTTTTTTCTTTTGGGTAGCTCGATGTTGTTCCAGGGTTAAAAAGGGGATGCTGCTGCAGTTGCAGTTAATCTCCTTGTTGATTTGTGCTACTTTTAGGTTGTGCACTCTTTTCCTGTCATGTGGGCTTTTAACAGCAAATTCCGATTTACTGACTTGATGGAATTGCCTAAGAAAATTTAATACAGATTCTATTTTTGCAATCAAATTTTATGACACACCTCAAGTAAAAGTCTCTATCTTCTGTTAACATTGCTGTCAGATGTCTTTTTTGAGTCAGAACTCTCAGAATTTTTGGTGTTTTTTTTAAAATCCTTGCTTTCAGTGTTGTAGAACTCTGGCAGTTTTTGACCTGTCATTTTATAAGGGAGAAGGGTAAAATATCTTTTCTCCTGTGCAGCCCAGGTGCTCATAAGCCAGAAGACAAGCATAAGCAATGTAAACAGTACTGCTGTTATTTTTAAATCTCAGGATTTTGTGGCCATTCTTATGATTTTTATGAGGGCTGGTGGTTACTTGTGATTTTAAGGGCTCAGCAGCAGCAGTGTTGTTTAAACTGTATTACACTTTAGTGTCATTTCTATAAAATGTTTCCTGTTTCATCCCTGTAAAAGCTTGACATATCTCCATAAAGGCCAAGTGATATGAATTACTATTCAATCTTAATCTACCTTTGCATGGGGATTTTATAGGATTGTTGTGCATGTACAGAAAATCCTCCTTAATACCATCTCCTGGAGGGAGAATTGGAAGATATTGCTGTTGATGTGGTTCACTGTTTCCATACGTATAACTGTCCCTTTGCCCTTGCTCATAACAACCCAGTTATTTCACACATTAGCAAGTTTAGCTGCTAGTGCAACAGGGAGCACAGTCAGTGGTTCTCAGCACAGTGGCAGCATCAATGGGGTTGTCTTCCATAGGAACTGTTTGCACTAGTATTGTGCTGATTCTGCTCTATATGCTGTGAAATACTTCCCTCCTTTCACACACTTGGCTATATCTTGTTTTTCCAGGCTGTTTCTCTGGCAGAAGATTCCTTTACTCAGTTGCTCTTCACTAACATTTTCTGCTAAATCCATTTGGCAATTCCACTGAGTACTTTCTAGCTGCTAATGTCAGGACTCTGTCCAGGGCATTCTTCCCTCCAGGGCTAGGTTTGATTGCTTTTGGTAACCTCTGTGTCAGTACTGTGTATTTTCACTGTACTTCATCAAATTGGAATCCTATTTAAAAACGTTTCCAATTTGTTAAGCAGAACAGCTGTGATACAGAAGGTGAAATAGTCTTCCATGCAGCAAAAGTTTCAGCTTGTGCTCCCCTTCTTTACAACTGTGAGGACTGAAATCTGTGCAAGGCACAGAGGCACATAGGCTCTGTTTCATCTCAGCCAACTGTAGGGACTCTTGAATTGAGAGTCTTATCACTGAAGGCTCCATGCTAGTCAGAGAGAATGTCACCTCCAGAGGGCTAAGATTTGTCATTTCTTTCTGTCAACACAAGGGGCTGTATGCTGAGACTTCACAAGCCCATCTGACAGAAGGATATGCTTAAAGCCTGCTTTTTCAATCTAGATCTTAAATTCCTTCTAACACAATGTCATCATTTCTGCTACAAGGCTGATCAATAA